CCCCTCCCAGGTGTAATTCCTATAATTCACAATGAGCCAGGATCTTTACCAGTTTAGGGCCCTCCCCTTTGACCTTTCTACAGCTCCCATGGTCTTCACAAAACATATGGTAGTTGTCGCCACATTCCTGCAAAAAAGGAGGGTCCAGGTTTACCCATCCTGGATGACTCCCTATAAAGGGCTCTTCCACTTCCCAGATTTTGGAACACATATCCCTTGTCAGGGAGACCTTTTCTCAGGCTGGGCCTCATCTTAAACGAAACCAAGTCCATTCTGACTCCCACCTAAAGGATAGAATTCATGGGGGGGGCCTGTTTCTTGCAATAAAAGAGGTTGTCGTGAGGCTCCAGTCGTTCCCCACCACCACGGCATGGTGCCGCATGAGGCCGCTGGGGTTCATGGCAGCATCAGGCTCAAGCTGTGCCTGGCGTGGATCCACAACCCGGTGTTCCAGCCAGTCGACGTGGTGGCGATGGTGCCTGTGAATGTACTGAGGTCCCTCGACTGGTGGCTATGCAAGGAGATGGTCTGTGAGGGGCTGCCATTCTATAGCCTTTTCCCAACCATTCACCTTGTGGTTCATGTCTCCGACAGTGGTTGGGGAGCCCATCTTGGGAAGCTGCAGACTCAAGGTATGTGGTCTCCTGTGGACCTCTCCCTCCACATCAGCGTCAGGGAGCAGAGGGCTATTCACCTTGCATGCAGTATTTTTCAGTATTGATGGACAACACTGCAGTGATGTTTTATATAAACAGAAAAGGTGGTGCTCCGTCTTGAATACTGCGTATAGATGTGGTCTCCTCATCTCAAAAAAGATATACTGGCATTAGAAAAGGTTCAGAGAAGGACAATGAAAATTATTAGGGTTTTGGAACAGGTCCCATATGAGGAGAGATTAAAGAGACTAGGACTTTTCAGCTTGGACAAGAGGAGACTGAGGGGGAATATGATAGAGGTATATAATATCATGAGTGGTGTGGCAAAAGTGAATAAGGAAAAGTTATTTACTTGTTCCCATAATATAAGAACTAGGGGCCACCAACTGAAACTAATGGGCAGCAGGTTTAAAACAAATAAAAGGAAGTTCTTTTTCACACAATGCATAGTCCATCTGTGCAACTCCTTGCCTGAGGCGGTTGTGAAGGCTAGGACTATAAAGGGTTTAAAAGAGAACTAGATAAATTCATGGAGGTTATGTCCACTAATGGCTATTAGCCAGTATGGGTAAGGAACGGTGTCTCTAGGTTCTATTAGTCAGAAGGTGGAGATGGATGGCAGGAGAGAGATCGCTTGATCATTATCTGTTCGATTCACTCCCTCTGGGGCACCTGGCATAGGCCACTGTTGGCAGACTGGATACTAGGCTGGATGGACCTTTGGTCTGACCCAGTATGGCCATTCTTATGTTCTTTTATCCCCTGTGCCAAGAAGCGCTCCTCTTGAAGGAATTCTGTCAGAGCATTCACCCTGTGGCCTGTTACCTCGCCGGGGCCCAGAATGCACTGGTGGATTGCCTCAGCATGTCCTTCAAGGGGCACGAATAGTCCCTCAGGCTGGATGTGGCTTTGCATATCTTCCGCAAGAGTGGTTTTTCCCCCCGAACTTGTTCGTAACTCGAAGTGACAACAGGTAGTGCTCCCTCTTCAACCACAGGCCAGGGTCACTGAGGGATGCAGTCATGGTCCCCTGGCCACAGGATCTTCTGTATGCCTTTCCCCCCTTTTCTCCTGATCCACAAGGTAATCCTCAGGGTCAGGGAGTTCAAGGCTTCCATGATCCTGATAGCCCCAGCGTGGCCTCGCCAGCATTAGTTCCCAGCTGTCCTTGAGCTCTCAGTGGAGTGGCCCTTGGCCCTTCCCCTTTTACCCGGACTTGATCTCTCAGGAGTTTGGCAGACTTCGGCACCCAATCCTTCAATCCCTGTATCTCATGGCATGGAAGCTCCGTGGCTGATGGCCTTTGAGAGGCAGTGCTTGGGCTGAGTTTAGGCAGTTCTCTTGGAAAGCCATAAACCACCAGGTACAAGGGCCTCTTACCTGGTGAAGTGGAAGCACTTAGCACTCTGGTTCTCACCTATGGAGGCCCCAGTTCCAGCCATTTTGGATTACCTCCTAGAACTTAAAACCTGGAGGCTGACCCCCTCTTCTGTAAGGGTGGAATTGACAGCTGTCTCGGCCTTCCACTCAGGGTCATGGAGTAGGTCTATTTTAATGGACTCAATGGTGCACAGGTTTATTAGGTGATGGGATAGGGTTTACCCTCAGGTGCGTAACCCTGTGCCCCCTTGGGATCTAAACCTGGTACTCTCTAGGCTCATGCCCCCCTTTCGAGCCCTTGGCTGCATTCTCTGTTTTGCACCTGTCCTGGAAAGGGTCCTTCCTTCTGGCCATTATCTCTGCTAGGCTCGTTTCAGAGCTGTGGGTCCTAACGGTGGATCCACCGTACACTCCCTCCCACCCCCAAGGACAAGGTCAGGCGTCACCCTCACCCTGTGTTAATGCCTAAGGTGGTGTCCTACTTTCATCTCCATCAGGACATTTTTCTAGAGGTCTTTTACCCAGAACCCCACAATTCTGGGACGGAGCTTTGCACACCTTAGATGTTAGATGAGCCTTAGCCTTTTATTTAGAAAGGACCAAATCCTTTCGTAAGTCCCTCTGCTATTTGTGTCCATAGCTGACAGGATGAAGGGCCTGCCAATGTCAGCCCAACTTATTTTGTCCTGAATCACTTCCTGTATCAAGGAATGCTATGAGCTGGTGTAGGTTCCAGCTCCGCCTACGATGGCCCATTCGACCAGGGCCTGTAAGTCTTCTGCTGCCTTCGTAGCCCAGGTGCCCGTCATAGAGATCCGCAGAGTGGCCACATGGTGGTCAGTGCACACTCTTGTTAATCATTATGGAGGATGCAGTGGTGGGTAGGGCTGTTTTGCATTGGGCTGTTTTGCATTCTGTCTCTCTGTAGGCTCCGACCCTGCCTCCTTGGGTTTGGCTTTGGAGTCACCTAAGTAGAATGGACATGAGCAAGCGCTCGAAGAAAAAAATGGTTACTTACCTTTTGTAACTTTTCTTCGAGATGTGTTGCCCATTCCACATCCCACCCAACTCCCCTGCATCAGAGGATTCTGGCAAGAAGAGATTAAAGGGGTGTAGGGCCAGCAGGGGTATATATGTGCCGCTATAGCGGCACCACTCTAGGGGACTCCCCTGCTGGCCCAACAGGTATAGCTAAGGGAAAATTCTTTGGCAATCTGTGCATGTGGTATGCACACATCTAAGTGGAATGGACATGAACAGCACATCTCGAAGAACAACAGTTATGAAGGTAAGTAACTTTTTTTGTTTTGTTTTTAAGGTTCTCTCTGTTTTGTTTCCAGGTTTTAATGCAAGTCAAGTCACATGATTAATCTAAATCAGCAGTTCTCAAACATCATTGTACTATTAGCAAATTGGGGAGTGGCAATCCTTAATGCACACAAGATGCTGTTTTACTTGCGCACACTAACCTCACGTATGCAGTGCATGTGAGGTTATGATACATGGAGGATGCAATTTTTCTTTATAAAATGGAAATCCTCCATGCTGTCTGGGGTCTCAGCAAGAAATATTTCATTACAGTGGGGCTACACCTATAAAAAGTTGAAGAACCTCTTGCTTAAATTAATATAAAATTATAATAATGCATGGTGTACAGTCAAAGATTAGATCAACATAGCTGTATTGCTCAGGATTATACAGGTGCAGTGCCATGGCTGTGCAACAGTAATAGCTGTATTGTAGAAATGATCTACATTTATACAGATCAGAAATACTTATATGCAAAAGTATTGGATTGGGTGCATAATTGTTTGTAGGACTGGAGTCCTATACATGAATGGACATCTACCATAACACAACTCAATAATCTAAATAAAATAGACAAGGTTTTTACAGGAACAACAGAAAAGACTGTTGTGAGTTCCCCCTATTAGATTTATTTCATCAGTTATTCTTAAAGCTTTGTGTATATTTGTATTCAGTTTTTAAAATGGTAAACAAATTTTATTTTTTGTAGAAAAGCTCAAAAAGTAAATTGGTGAATGTGTAAAGGACAAAGACAGCAGAGAAAAATTACATTTGTCAATTCCTATTAAGATATTCCAAATAATGGCAACTATAACATTAATAAAAATCTTCTAAAAAGTAGCTTTCTAAAATTTTTAAAGGTTCATATTACGGTATTTACTTTCATCACCAGGATTACCTATGCAAGTCAGTTTGTCGGGAAATGCGTTAACAGATTCTCTTCTAAATAATTTTACATTCTGGAAAAGCAGTATACTATTGAATACAGCTTGACAGATGTGACGGGATCTAATACTTAGCTTGGATTTCTGTATTCTTACGTAGTGTTTTCTTACATATATTCATTTTGAATCTGTTTTATTCTCTCTTGGTGGTTCCTCATGAATAATTGCACTGTCGTATTTTCATCTGAGGCTGCCATGAAATTTTCTGTTTCCGTAGTTGTCTCAATCATTCTTCTCTGCTGCTGGTAGAGTAACAACTTAACACTTTTAGTAAAGGAACCATTTGTCATGGAATGGCGTGAGGTGGGAGGGAGGCTTATTTTGAAATAGGAAATAAAAAGTCATGATTTTTTTTTGTCTATTTTTACTGTTGTGAGCAATTCTGGTTGTCCAGTGGAGCTATTGGGTAGCTACGGAGCTTACCTAATTTCACCGTGATTTTTTGCCATTTTTATGGGAGAACTGCTAGAATAAGGATTTAATATTAAAGGAATGCCTGAATTTTCTCTCTTTATTGGTGTGCTTTGTATTTAAGTCTTAAATATCAGCCAAGACCATTTTTGTTTCAGCAAAATGTTTTGCTAAACTGTTAAAGTTAAGTGTGCAAGACTGCCTGACTACTTCTTAGTAGATAATCATGGTTGGCATTTAGTTTTTTTTTTCTTGTTTTTGCTAGAAAATTTTGGTGAGATATTTCCCTTTGTCTCTGTAGTTATCAGAGACTGTTACAGACGATTGCTGTACTCGAGGCTCAACGTACTCAAGCAGTTCAAGACCTTGAAAGTTTAGGCAGACACCAGAGAGAAGCACTGAGAAATCCCATTGGATTTGTGGAGAGACTCCAAAAGAAGGTATCCAATAGGCATTTCTTAAGTTTTTTATGAGAATTTTTATAACAAATAACTGTTCACCTATAGAAACTAGTGTATGTTATCTATACCTGTGTAAATATTAAGAGGTTCAAATTATTTCTATAGTGATAAAGAACTGTCCTTGGTTCAGGATTGATGGTTTGTTAAATGTTGATTAAACTTATAAAATACGGGTATTTTGACAAAATTAAGTACACATTTTTATAGGAGTATAGAACTGCTCTTGTCTTCAAGCTTTCAATGCCAATGGGCTTTTCAAGACTTCTGTGATTAAAAAGAAAGCATTGTGTGGTCGGGAACGGTATCAAGAAATCATGGCCTTTGACACCAAAGAGATTTTAAATGCTTTGAGTTCAATTATAGGTAGGGTATTTTTATGGCGACTGTGAGCAGGAAACTCAAAATAAAATGAGCTCTGAAGGCATACCACAAATCAGGAGAGTTCCAGTGATTATATCATATCACTGTACATGTGTGGAAGAGAACAAATTTCAGTTAAGAAACTATTTCCTTTTCAAAAGTTTAAAAGGAAGTTTTAAAAATTGTTACAATCGTTAGGTCTTTTTTAAAAGAAAGCAATGATTGACCTTATGCTATGTTAGCAGCTCATTATGCTTCAATAAAAGAGTGATGTTGGTTCTGGGAAATTGCCTTTCCATAGGCATAGTATAAACTTGGGGCCTGATGCATAGCCATTTAAGTTAATGGTTCTGTTTCCATTGATTTCTGTGGGTGCTGAATTGATTTCTAAGCAAATTATAGTTGTGACTCATCCAGCATCCAAGCACTATGCTCTGGCAACTAACCAAATTATGCAGATGCATTTGGGTAGGGGAGTCCATGTCTGTGTGTGTATGAGAGATTGTTGAGCTTAGAAACAAGTGTGCTTATGCTATTGTATTCTCTACGGAAGGCAACAAAATCAGTAAAAACAGTGTCTAATGTTCAGTCATTTTTATTATAGTAGATGTTTACATTTACATGTGGATGTGATTAATCAGTTCTGATAACTGGGTTTCTTTAGTTCTCTTTAGTCTTCTGTGTTTACTTATAGGAATACAGTCTGGTTATACAGTATGAGCTTTTTAACAAATCAGTAACAGGATAGGAAAACTGGAAACACTTGGCTTACTATTCAGTGTAATTCTAAAACTCTGTCCAATAAACCATCATTGACCGTGCCGCTGCATATTTTATATGCCCTGCTATGTATTGCTCTTTAAAAATACTTTCCCTATATAAGGAATATGTGCTGAATGGCACTTCATATACACACTGTTGGCTAAAAGCAGGATTTCTGTAGTTCTATATCCTTTTGTTTGAATGCTCAGTGATTGCATTAAGTATTGCTTCTCATTTTGATTCTTTCAGGTTGATATAGGACTTCCATATCCTCAAAGAGTTGTCCAGCTGCCTGAGATTGCCTGGGACCAATATACCACCAGCCTTGGGAACTTTGAAAGAGAATTCAAAAACCGGAAACGTAACAGTAGGAGAGCAAAGCTGATTTTTGATAAAGGTAAATGAAAAACTAAGTGTATATTACAGGAAAAATTAACCTGCCATGTTGGTTTAATAACTTCCTTTATGTTGCTTGCATTAGGCTTGCCTGCAAGACCAAAAAGTCCTTTGGATCCCAAGAAGGATGGAGAGTCCATTTCATACTCTGTATTGCCTTTAAGTGATGGTCCAGAAGGTTCTACAAACAGTCGTCCACAGGTAAATGTTATAAAAAAGAAAGTAGGCAAAATTGTACATAATAGTAACTTTTTTAATGGATTCTTTATTAATACTAGATTATGTGGGTAGTGTTAAAATTGTTACAATAAATTTAATGCCTCTATTTCCAAATGTTCAGAAACTCAATCATCAAAACATATGGTGGAATCAGTCTTTTCATGTGACCAAGTCAGAACTTTTTTCTGTCCTCTATCAAAATAATGTTTTCATATATGTTGTTCTTTTACTTGGGTGGAAAAAGGGTTAAAATCAAGTTATCCTAACTTTTTTTCTAAAGTCCTATTCCATGTTATATACTGTATTTAAGCAGATGATAAGAGGGCGACTTTGCGATGAGACCAAACCCGAAACTTTTAACCAGCTGTGGACTGTAGAAGAACAGGTAATGGGAAACCCTAGCTAGCTCGTTAGACCATTTTGTAACCTTACAGTGATGTTCACCAAAATAAACTCAAATTGTGTAGTAATGTTTAAAGTGCTTAATGCTTTGGAATCAAAGATAATATGTATACTTATACATTTTTTGCACCAGTTTGATTTTTTTTTTTTTTAGTGACAAGCCATGCCTCTTCTAGATTTGGTGTATTAATGTTTGTGATCTTGTCTTGTGCTTGGTTTAGAAAAAACTTGAACAGTTACTTCTGAAGTACCCACCAGAGGAAGTAGAATCCCGACGGTGGCAAAAGATAGCTGATGAACTGGGAAATCGTACTGCAAAACAGGTAATGGGGAATCCATCTCTCTTGTTGCATTGTAAACATTCCAGGAAATACTAGAGGAGATATGTATCTGGTGCTCTTCTGCATAGTTTCTTCAGTGATTAAATTCTTATGTGCAATGTACCTTGCAAAACTCAGGTCAATTCATGAAGAGACAAGGATTTTTTTAGAAACTGTAAAATATATATAGGTAGGAAAAAATTGATTGCTTCTTTGGGAAGAAACCAACGAATTCTTTACTTGCATTAGTGGTGATGCCATGAGATTACAAACATGAATTTCTGCATCTTGAGGATATTGAAATGGCCCACCTGCCATTTGGAGATTTTACAAAAGTCATACAGATTGAACCTCTCAAATCTGAGACTTTCTGGTCCAGTAACACCTGTGGTCTGGCAGGACCCCAGATTCGCTGGACCAAAGAGCTCTGGCGGCTGGGAACAGGAGTTCTGAAAGCGGTGGCAGTGGCTGGGGAGCCTTAGCCCACAACCCAGAGGTGGGCCCAGAAGTAGGGTTGGCAGCCAGCAGGGCAGAATTGCCCTCCCCTGGTATGGCAAACTCCATGGTTCAGGATCATGAAGGTATCAAGCATACTGGACCAAGATACTGGATCATTAAGGTACCAAGAGTACAGGAGATCCTGTGTGTGTGTGTGTGCGTGTGTGTGTGTGTGTGTGTGTGTGTGTGTGTGTGTGTGTGTGTGTGTGTGTGTGTGTGTGTGTGTGTGTGTGTGTGTAAAAAAATCGGGCATCAGGAAAGTTGCCAAGTCATCAGATCCAACCTATTAATCTTAATATTTTGATGACAAATGTAATGAGTCATCCATGTCAAGGACTGCAGCACTACTAACATCTGTAATAGGACTTTTAAATGTGAAATTATATTGATTTATAATAAATGCCCACAAACCATGATTAAGCTGTCAGGTCTAATTGTTGTCCATTAGATTTTGACATTGTCCCTATGATAATTTCAAAGTACAGCAACACCAGTTATTCAGACTCATTTACTTTTAACTCCTATTATAAGTTACCATGAATGTAAAATACGTACTCTTTTATTTAGATCAGAAAGAGAGCGTATAAAGGATAGGTTCTTCACCAACACTGTAGAATGGATTAATATATGTCAGTGTTGTTAGACAGTGGATCTGATCAGACGCTGTCTTTGATGCAGTTTCAGAATCAGAAACTTTACTGCTATTCTCAACACCCAGTTTTTTTGAACTCTTTGCAGAATAATAACCTAGGCATTTGCCTTTTATAAATGATACATAAAGTTTAGAATGTCATCTTTCTCTGAAGTTTGTATTTTTCCTGAAGCACTTCAAACATTAGATTTTTTTTAAAGTGGGTATTTGAATTCTTTTTTTAAGTGTCATACATACTTACTCATCTAACATTTAATAATTCATGTTTTTTCTTCTAGGTTGCCAGCAGGGTGCAAAAGTATTTTATAAAACTGACTAAAGCTGGCATTCCAGTACCAGGCAGAACTCCAAACTTGTATTTATATTCCAAAAAGGTAAGACTAGATTATAGCAGAAGACTTCATATTTGCATGTGCATATGTGTAAATACATTTTAAAAATTAAGGACCCTACTTTTAAAGTATTGAATGGATTTTTTTTATTAAATAGACTGCTTATCCCAAGTTATATGTATCTATTATTTTACTGTTGTTAGCACCAAAGAGCAAGCTGGATTCTCTTCTGGTTTGCACTTTGTTTTAAGTAAATTCCTGTTGCATAATCTTTGTTGATGATGAAGTACCATCCAGAAACGCACAGCTTTCAGCTCCCAGGTTGAGTTTCAGGATAGACAGCTTTGTCCCTCTTGTTTCTTGCAGATTACGCGCACACACACACACACACACACACACATAAAATCACCAAATTTTATCTATTTGAGAGAGAAAAAAAATAAAACTCTAGCAATGACTGTGAAAATGTCATCTTTCAGAGAAGAACAAAAATTAAAAAACACAGAAGATGATTTTTCACAAAAATGATTACATTTAAATTAACACAGCCACAGAGTTAAGTCTGAAACATCATGCTTTTCTGAGGTCTGCAAATCCTCTAAGATGTAAGATCATCCACACTTTGTGTGTACACATTTATTTTACTATATTTTTCCTCTCTTGGTGTTCACACCTCCACTGACTGAATTGACCTCATTATCTCTAGCCTTATTCTTGATTTGTACTCTTTTCTTATGCCTGTATATTTATACCTGCCTCTGGAATTTCCACTACATGCATCTGACGAAGTGGGTCTTTGCCTATGAAAGCTTATGCTCCTATAAATCTGTTAGTCTATAAGGTGCCACAGGACTCCTCATTGCATTTATTTTACTTTGGAGGATAGGGACATAATTCAAAATGACCTTAGCAAGTTAGAGAAATGGTCAGAGGTAAACAGGATGAGGTTTAATAAAGAGAAATGCAAAGTGCTCCACTTAGGAAGGAACAATCAGTTCCATACATACAAGATGGGAGGCGACTGTCTAGGAAGGAGCATGGCGGAAAGGGATCTAAGGGTCGTAGTGGACCACAAGTTGAATATGAGTCAACAGTGTGATGCTGTTGTAAAAAAAGCAAATATCATTCTAGGTTGTATCAACAGGTGTGTTGTAAGCAAAACTCATGAAGTCATTCTGCCGCTCTACTCTGCACTAGTTAGGCCTCAGCTGGAGTACTGTGTCCAGTTCTGGGCGCCACATTTCAAGAAAGATGTGGAGAAATTGGAAAGGGTACAGAGAAGAGCAACAAGAATGATTAAAGGTTTAGAGAACATGACCTATGAAGCCAGGCTTCATGAACTGGGCTTGTTTAGTTTGGAAAAAAGAAGATTAAGGGGGGACATGATAGCGGTTTTCAAATATCTAAAAGGGTGTCACAAGGAGGAAGGAGAAAATTTGTTCCTCTTGGTTACTGAGGACAGGACAAGGAGTAATGGGCTTAAAGTGCAGCAGGGGAGGTTTAGATTGGACATTAGGAAAAAATTCCTAACTGTCAGGGTGGTCAAATATTGGAATAAATTGCCAAGGGGAGGGGGTGGAATCTCCCTCTCTGGAGATATTTAAGAACAGGTTAGATAGACATCTGTCAGGGATTGTGTAGACGGAGCTTGGTCCTGCCTTGAGGGCCGGGGGCTGGACTCGATGACCTCTCGAGGGCCCTTCCAGTCCTATTATTTTATGATTCTCTATGATTCTATAAGTCTCAGCAGTATCAGCTCCTTAATTAAGACTGTTCTCCATCAGAGTTATTTGTACAAAAAACCTTTCAGAAGACGCTAACGTTGCTGCCACTTCAGAACTTAAAAATCAGCATTCTTTTATCCATCCAGATCTAGTTACTATACTTGATGACCTGAGGACAGTTGGAGAAAAAATACATCTCCTCAGTTTGTTTTAAACATAAACACAGAACAGTACAGGATGTTAGCAAACTGTGGCCTATTGCATCTGCTGTGTAACTATAATATTTATTTCTTCATGGGTAATTTTATAATTCTTTTAAAAATATTTGTCCCCCAAAGTTTACAGAGATTGTCTAATTTCCTTCGCATTATGGTACTCGGTAAGTATTAGGCGGGGCTAAAAATGGAATTGATGTTCAATTTTATATTAATTTATACATTGTGAATTTTTTTTATAATGGAAAACTTTCCAGACAGTTTTTCTAAAAGACATGGAACTGATAGTTATGCTTGCTTTCATATTTTAGCTCTGAATACTAGATTCACACTGGAACAGTTGAGTTTTTCCCAGGTTCACTCCACCATTCTGTCCTGAAGGAGTGTGGGATCTCCCTCCTCTCTAAACTTCTAAACAATAAAAGAAATGTTTTATTGAGGATGGGTAAATTGAGCTCTGCTAATGGAGTAGTCTGCTTAAATCACCACGGGTTCTCACACTATTCCCAGATCTGTAAGTGGAGCTAACACAGAATGATGGAAAATATTTGCACGTGGTACGATAAGGTTGCTTCATGATTATACTATGATTATGGTTGTTCACATACTTAAAATGCACACAAAATACCTGCTTTGTACCCAGTATTCATTGTGTGCCATCTGCATGCTGATACATCTGCTTAATATATTACTGTGGACAAATTTTAAAAAATGTAAAATATGCAGACTGTACTCATAAAATAGATGCACTACAAGCAGAAGTAATTCAGGTTTCTCCACATTGACTTATCAGACTCTGTTACTGTAGATCAGTGGTCTCCAACCTTTTTACACCCAAGATCACTTTTTAAATGTCAGGGCAAGCCAAGATCTACTCCGTCCCTTCCCCAAAACCCCACCCCTTCCTTGAGGCCCCACCCTCTCCATTCCCCTCCTCCATCACTTGCTGTCTACACCCCTTACTCACTCTCACTGGGATGAGACAGGAGATGTGGGCTCTGGGGTGGGAATGAGGGATTTGAGTGTGGGAAGGGGTGCAAGCCCTGGGTGGAAATTTGGGTGCAGGAGAAGGTGGAGAAGGAGATGCTGGCTCAGGGAGGGGGCTCCAGGCTGGAGAGTGTTGGGATCAGGTGCAGGATTGAGGTGCTGAGAGATCCACAGACTTGCGGATATCAGTGTGTAGGAGTTCGGGTTGTGGTATATGATGGGCTCAGTGTAGAGGGGTCTGGTATACGATGGGCTCAGAGCGTAGGTTTGCAGTGTGTGGGTGGTGCAGGAGTGTTGTGGCACAAGACTGGATATGTGGGGGTGCAGGAGTTTGGGGATGTGGGGAGCTTTGGGCAGGGGATTCAGGGGTATGATGGGCTCAGATTTCGGAGGTGTGGGGGTGCAGGAGTGTTACGATGCTGCGGCCAGATGGGGATTTGGCTCCAGTTGGGGGCTTGCTGGCCAGGCTTCATTTTAAAATAAAATATGTTCAACACAAAACGTTTCAACATTGTCTTTATTTGTGGGAGAGGCAGGGAACATTTTTTGGGTTAGGGGGCCACTAACCCATAGAAAAATCAGTCAGGGACCTCACAAGTGTGATGCAAAAAGCCAACCCCTCCAAAAAAAACCCAACCCTCACTGGTGTGTCCCTAACTGAGACACCTCACTCCCCTGGCACTCCAGCCCCATGGGGGGTAGGGTAGGTTAGGACTGAGGTTCAAGGCCTCAGGCCAGATTAACATTTCTGGGGTTCCAGAGTGTCATGGCTCCTTCCCCACTCTGGCATGATAAATGCAGAAGTGGGGGCCAGCAAAAGTACCCCAAAACCTTATCTATCAGGCTTTAAAACTTCCCTCCAAAACCTTAACCTAGATTTTAGGGATAAAACTCCGCTGCCATCACCCAAATATTAATAAAGGAATCAAGGAGAGACTACTTGGGAAATCTCACCCCTAAAGTACAAACCAGGACACACAAATTAACCAATACCAGGTTAATTAAAAAGAAAAGAGAGAGAACTTTTATTATCACCACAATATTCCTGTTGCAAGCATAATGACAAGATGGAACAGTAACAAAATAATATACTCGTGGAGAAGAAATTTACTATGGGCCAGGAACTTAGTTACAAAGGAGAGCAAAACCCATTTTTAAATGCACAGACCAGATCCCATTTCACAAGCCATAAAACAATAAAACCTAACGGATTTATCTAAACTTTATCCTACTTACAGACTGTGAAGAGTATTTTCTTAGAGGGAGACATCCTGTCCCCTTCAATAGCTGGAGAGAAACTACCCAGAGACAAAGGAGGGAAAAACAAACATTCCTTTGTCCCCATTAGAAATTCCTACCTACATCCCTATTGGCCAACTCTACCTGAGTTAGGTACAGTTGACCCGTTAGTCCCCAGGCTGCTGGCCATCTCTTATGATCGTGACACAGGGTTAGTGGATTTTGTGGACACCCCTATGCTCTTGGGTGGGGCCAGAAATAATGGCTATTGGCCAACTCTACCTGAGTTAGGTACAGTTGACCCGTTAGTCCCCAGGCTGCTGGCCATCTCTTATGATCGTGACACAGGGTTAGTGGATTTTGTGGACACCCCTATGCTCTTGGGTGGGGCCAGAAATAATGGATCCAGTGTGCAGGACAGAGCTGCCAGTGAATGGGATAGGGATGGGGGTGCAAAATCTGGATGAGAAGTAGGGTACAGGAGCAATCTGGGGGTAAGTGTCTGGCCAGGAGGGAAGGGGCAGGAACAACAGGTTTCTGGTGGATGTCTGGGCAGGGGTCAGGAGCAGGGTGCTGGTGGGTATCTGGGCAGGAGAGAGGGGGTGGGTGCTGATGGATGTCTGGTCGGGGGGGCAAGAGCAGCGTGCTGGTGGGTGTCTGGCCAGGAGGTTGGAGGAGGCAGGAGCAGGGTGCTGGTGGGTGTCTGGCTAGGGGAGTGGGGGAGGGGCAGTTTGGCTGGTATCTGGGGGTCTCCAGGGACAAGTATCTCTTGGCAAGGATCTGCAGGCAGTGCTGGAGGAAGCACATGTACAGCTCCTTTAAGAAAACCAGGATCTTGATCCTCTGCTGCCATCTTAACCACCATCCCCTTCTCACC